TAAACGTATTTTTAGCACGTTTCAAAAGCGAATTGCAAAATGTGTAACTGTCTCCCGCAACGGTATTTTATAAGGAACAATTTAAAAAAAAAATCAGCCGGAGAGGTCGCTTCCTCGCCTCATAAAATTACAATAACTGTTTGGAAAATTACAAACGTTTGACATCATTCTGTCTTTATCTCTCCTCCGATTGTTGTATCTCCCTATCTGTCATAGCATCATTGGAGAGACAAGGATCTATCTATCCTTGTCCCAGAGCTTCCTGCTTTTCCCGCAACTGTCGCTGAAGTCAACTCAGAGTTTTGCTGGGTCTCCTGCGCATCCTTAAAACTTTTTTTCCGACCACGTGTTACAAAAACGCATAAAAAAAATGGCGTGGGCACGAAATAAAACTATCGCGCGAATGCCGGGGTCACCAATTGTAGGTATTTATGTACCAAATCTAACCTACAGAACTTATTACGAAATAACAACACGGTTTAATTAACAAAGTTTTAATAACAGAACAAGAATAGAAATAACAATGTAGGGACTTTACGATTCGCGGTAGACGTGTACGCTTACTTAGTCCGGGAAGAAGTGCTAACAAAACAACTACGCTTCCTTCTCCTTAAAACTGCGGGAACATCTAAGTATCAAAATCCCTAGATGTTCCTCAGTTAGCGAGGTGTGAAGGTTAGTCGCCTTGGCCTAACCCCACAAGTCTGTGGCGTTCCCAAATGTGTTAAACACCACAAGACAAGAATCTTTCGACTCCGTAAAACTCCTCGGACAAAAAAATGAAAGAAAAACTTTTTAATAACAATAACAGCTTTATTCAAAATCAGGTTTGTACTCTCGTAATAACGGAACTAGACTGAACACGTTTTCCCTAGTTCGCTTGCTATTTTTAAAACCGGAAACGACAGATGGCGCTGTCATGAAAATTGACTCTTTTCTTTCTGCCAGCATCGGTAGGGGTTGCCACAAGTCGTCCTCAGTAAGCGCCATCTCCTATCGATTGTCTGAACCAAATTTGTGACGTCACTTGCTCTGTATTATCGTTAAAATGGCGGAACCTCGTATTTGGGAATGCAATTCTTTGCCTACAGATTTTGTCCTTATATGAGCATATTTTGGGCTCAATGAGGGCTCATTCGAAAGAGTAAGGTCCAAGGAATGGCGCTCTGGTCGTCGTTTGAGTCACAAAATTCTTTTAGTAACCTAAAAATACAACTATTCTGCGGATGTATTTTGCTCGACTTTTGCTCGAATTTGGACGCTCATATTATTAAATATCGACGAAATCTCGTTCAACTATGATCAGAGCGCCATTCCTTGGACCTCCTTCTTTCGAATGAGCCCCAATTGAGCCCAGAATATGCTCATATAACGACAAAATCTATGGACAAGCAAACCCATATTTCGGGCCAGATTTTGTCGGTTTACAGCGCGCTGTATTACCCATGAATTGACTTCAGCGACAGTCGCGGAAAAAGTAGGAAACTCCGGGACAAGGATAGAGAGGGCGATACAACAATTGCAGGAGAGACGAAGACAGGGCGATTAGGCTAGCATGATTCTTGTCAAAGATTTTGAAGCAAAGAAGCAATATTTTCTAATAATTCTGATTTTTAATATATTCTTTACACTTTGGCGGATGCGACTCCAAGGCCTGATGTTGGAAAAAGTATATGTAAACAAATTTCTTCTATAAGAAAAAAAAAACCGTACTTTTATTGTTTATAATGTTTTAAGGCCGAAATTGCAAAATCAGGCCTTGGAGTCGCATCCGCCAAAGTGTAACGAATATATTAAAACCAGAATTATTAGAAAATATTGCTTCTTTGCTTCAAAATCTTTGACAAGAATCATGCTAGCCTAATTGCCCTGTCCTCGTCTCTCCTGCAATTGTTATATCGCCCTCTCTGTCCTTGTCCCGGAGTTTCCTATTTTTTCCGCGACTATCGCTGAAGTCAATTCGGAATCTGTTCTAACTCCTGCGCACCCTTAAAGGCGCATCCCTTCAACTGACTTTCTGAATGCTCCCATTGCTATTCACACGTATATTTGATCAACAAACTAGTGTGTGTGTGTTTACTCGCATACATAATTGTTTTTCAAGAAATAGTAAAACATATAAAAGTCAAGAGTAAAATAATGAAAAAATTCTTATACGTTCCTTAATGTTGAAGAATATTTAATAGACTTTATACATATATGCTATTGTTAGTCATATTTATCCCTGGAGAACACTAATAGTCAATGTACCGGTAATGTGTGAAATGTCAATCCAATTGAAAAACTACCTCGCGTAAAATTAATTGTAATCTGATTTCCAGTGAGAAGTAAATATCAAATTCAAGATGCCTTGTGAAATGATAACGTTGCAACTTGGCCAGTGTGGCAATCAAAGTAAGCAATTTATAGTTTACGTTTATATTGAAATGTCATTTCGATTCTAGTATATTATACTGTTTTTTCAATTATTTTCAGTGTTAATATGTTTCATTGTTATGTTATATATGTCGAAATATTTCTTTGTAGAAAATATTAATTTCTTTGATTTCCAATTAACGTGATTTAAATTATAGCTAATTAAATATTTATATTATTATAAAAACAAATCTTAATAGGTTGAGTCATGTAATGTATTAAAATACTATATTCCTGAAAAATATAACAAAGTTTAATTTATATACTTTTTTATATACTTTTTAGTTGGATTTGAGTTTTGGAAGAAATTATGCGCAGAACATGGTATCAGTGCAGAAGGTATTTTAGAAGATTATGCGACGGAAGGAACTGACAGAAAAGATGTATTTTTTTACCAATCAGATGATGAACATTATATACCAAGGGCAGTATTATTAGATTTAGAGCCTAGAGTAATACATACGATTATGAATTCTCCATATTCAAAGGTTTGCCTTTTTTATTATTACAAATTTCCCTAAATATATTATATAATAATTATAGATTTCACCAGCTTTTAAATCTTACATTTATTTAAATTACCTTCATAATCAGTTTTAATTAAAATGATATACTTTGTGCATATTTGTACATATATTTATTAATACTGTAATTTTTTTTCACAAGTTATACAATCCAGAGAATATTTATTTATCAAAACACGGAGGTGGTGCTGGGAATAACTGGGCATCTGGTTATCACCAAGGAGAGAAACTTCAAGAAGAAATTTTTGATATTTTGGATAGAGAGGCTGATGGAAGTGATAGTCTAGAGGTATGCTTATATGCTTTTTAAGAAAAGTTATTTGTATCTTAAGAGTTTATAATGTTATTTATTTCTACAGGGATTTGTTCTATGCCATTCTATAGCAGGTGGTACAGGTTCGGGTATGGGTTCTTTTATGCTGGAATCTCTTGCAGACAGATATCCAAAAAAATTAATTGAAACATATAGTGTTTTCCCAAACCAAGATGAAATAAGGTATGTTTTATATAAAATAATCTTATTATACTACAATAATTTAAAAATTGAAGTTAATTCTTTTATCTTTTTCCAGTGATGTAGTGGTACAGCCATATAATTCTTTATTAACGCTGAAAAGATTGACACAATGTGCCGATTGTGTTGTTGTTTTAGACAATACTGCACTTAACAGAATAGCATTGGATAGACTTCATATTCAAAATCCCAGTTTTACACAAATCAATCAACTTGTATCCACGATAATGTCTGTTAGCACTACTACACTTCGGTAGCGTATTACTTTATTTATATTGATATAAAATAATATAATTTATATCATCTTATAACTTAAATCACATTTTCACAATACTAGATATCCTTCTTACATGAATAATGATTTAGTTGGTTTAATTGCTCCGTTAATTCCAACACCACGTTTACATTTTCTCATGACGGGTTACACTCCACTTACTACAGATCAGGAAGTAAGTAATGAGGTAAGATTATACTTTAAGTTTTGTCATTAAAATAATACAAATTATAATTAAATAGGGTGCCTCTGTGAGAAAAACTTCTGTATTAGACGTCATGAGGCGTTTACTGCAACCAAAAAACATGATGGTTTCTACAGCATTAGATAGAAACGCATTTCACTGTTATATATCTATTTTAAATATCATTCAGGCAAGTGTCATATAATTTAAAGTAATATGAACATAGACAAATTATAGATACCTCTTTTTTATAGGGTGAAGTAGACCCAACACAAGTTCATAAGTCATTACAAAGGATTAGGGAACGAAAACTCGCACAATTTATACCGTGGGGTCCTGCTAGTATACAAGTAGCTCTTTCGAGAAAATCCCCGTACATACAAAGTACACATCGAGTATCTGGCTTAATGTTAGCTAATCATACAAACATATCATCGGTAGGTTGTATATAATATACAAATTTTGATGTGTTAAAATATATTAAATTGTCATGTTTAATTAATATAGTCAGTCAACAAACAGTACATATTTAAATTAATTAATTATTTAATACAATATTGAACAAAATAATCATTAATTTTATTTAAATATAATTTTAAAAAATGTTATTTATTAAATGTAGACTATATTTATAAGTGTATATTATGAAAAGATAATTTTTGTAAATTGCCTTTTATCATGTTTCAGTTATTTGATCGTGCCTTACAACAATATGATAAACTGCGAAAGAGGGAAGCATTCTTGGAACAGTTTCGTAAAGAGAAAATGTTTGAAGAAAATTTGGATGAGTTGGACAATTCTCGAGAAGTCGTTGAATATTTAGTAAAAGAATATCAAGCAGCTACACGAGTCGATTATTTGTCTTGGAATCCTAACAAAGCAGAAACATAAAGTAGTCCAAATTCTAAATAAGATTATAATGTATACAAGTAGGAGTTCAGAATCTGATCATTATTCACTAGTTTTGCAATGCTTTCGCCATTATTACAGATTTTTATTTTGAAAAGAATTGAAGTTATATCACTCAAATCAACTTTTAACAAACTAAGTGTTACGGTGAATCAACATTTTGTGTTTTTTTTGCCATGACTTAGAATATAATCAGTCTTTGGACTGTAAACTTATTTCTGATTTTCGTGCATATAACGGGGGTAGTGTAGCAATAGTAATAAATCCTGTATGACCAGGTAGAGAACGAGCGTGCGTTACGGTAAGAAGTTTAGTTTGATTTTGCTTTTCATCTTCATTTTGTTGTGCCATATCTTTGTCTGCATGCTAAAACATAAGTTAAAACGTTTACATTACTATTTCGAAACTTTACTACTGTCTTGAATACAAAAAGTAAACTTAGTACGTGCCATTTATGCTACATATTATATCTACGATATTTTTCTACGAAAATTAAATGAAAAATAATACTTTACACTACACATAAAATATTTACCAATATTTTATTATTAAAATTATATCAATCACATATGTTGTATCTATTTTACGAACCTTATGTTTTAGACATTCCAAATCAAGTGTAGGAAGGTTTTTATATTGTACATTCACCTCTCTTTGTAAGCACTCGTATGTATTTAACTCAATGAATTCTTTTGATATTAACTTTTCACAAGTACGTTGAACTTGTTCAATGCAAGGTGAAAAAGAACAAAGTTTTCCACCTGTTTAGGAACAAAGTAATAAAATAATTCTCTAAATTTATTTAAGAAATTGTGTCATGTATTTCTCAGTATTAATTATTACTAATTTTGTGTAACAGAAAACACTTTAGAAATAAAATAAATTAAGAAAAATAAAATTTTCTATGTATTTTCATGTAAAGCTATAAATGAAAATCACAATGAAAAAAATTATATTTAATTAAGCATAATTACTCTGTACCTGATTCTTTTAAAGTACATAGTGCATGATCAATTGCTAACCATGGATGTGGGAGATCCAAAAAAATTGCATCTACCTTGTTTTTCAATTCTTTTCCAAATCCTTCTATACAAACATCTTTATGACCTAACGTCACAAATTTACTAAGACCATGTCTCTTAAATTCTGTATTAGCAACATTTACACGTTGTTCATGAAACTCAAATGTATAAAGATGTCCATGTGGACGAACAGCGCGAATAAGAGCATGTGAGAGGGATCCACTTCCAGTGCCTGTACAGATAAAACATAAAAATGAATATATAACATAATAATAGTGTATATAAATCTTTATATTAGTTGCCATATTTATGACAGGTATATAAACTTTTCCTTTTTAAATTTTATATTTAAAAGAAATTCAGTATTTCCAAAAATAGTGTATAACATTTGCTGAACCTGTCTCAATGATTATGTTTCCTGGTGTTAAATCCATTAAGTACAAAATAAGACTTATATCGGGGCTATAGATAATTTGTGTTCTATGGGGAACTGTTAATGTCCAAAGTTCCGGTGTTGGTTGTAGCACATATCCCCATCCACGTGAAAGTTGTACTTTTGTACCATATTTTTCTCCAACCAGAGAAAAAACTTTGAGGGCTCCATATATAGTTTGAAAGATGTTATCAACCATATTACCTTTTCTATTTACAATTTTTTGGGTTACTTCCAAAGAATGCATATTATTGGGTCCTAAGTATAAAATGACCACATCTCCTTCTTCGATGACTTCTTTTACTTTGTTGAAACTCATTTTGCTAAAAATAAACACAATCTATTTTCTTATCACTTCTGGTGTTTTTACTCATTTATAATTTGTTATTATAGTTGCTATATTTTATATTAGTACATTATCATTATCAACTTATTTTTTATTTTATGAATATTATTCATTTAATAATTTGTTAATTCTAATTTATACATCTTACGGTTTCATATATTACACATCAATTATCAACTTATTAACATATGTAGAACATTTATAAAATTCTTCACTGTTTATAAGATTTTTTACGAAGTGTATATATGTATATCAAAGAGGATTAGATAGAGTGGAAGGACTCATAAGAGCGCTGTATAAAAAATCGTATACGAGTTTCAGTGCCCTCTGGTGAGTGGGGACCGTATTAAACACCCCCTCCTTTCGCCTCACTCCGCAAGTTGCTCCGTAGTTCTATAATCCCAGAAATCTCAGGTCACAAATTTGAATTCTGTGAACTTGCATCACAATAAAGACGCATAACAAATCTTTCATGCTACAATTTATATTTTGTAATAACGTAAAAGTTAAAACATAGTGTATAAAGTGTATCATGAAAAAGTGTTGCGCATCATTATTGCGACAAGATTTCTGTAAAAAGATTGAAGTTCTATGATGTAATGAAGTATACATAATTATGAAACATAAGTTACAATTAAGTAATATAAGTTTATACTTACACTTAGTTATATAGTATAGTTACATTAGTTTATACTTAAGAATTATTTATACATAATAGTAAAAGGTAAAAGAGAGGTAGGATATAATAAATTATTGTACAGTATAAACATACAATATATTTTTTGAAATATGTATGCACGATTATACAATTAAGTTTTTAAATTAATTAAAAATTAAAATCATTTAAACATTAAATTACATATGCGAATGCTCCTATTTTCTCTGGCATCAATGTTCGCAAACTGGAGCCACTTGTCTCAGCTACAAAGGATAAAGTCATCTTTAATGTTTTTCCCTCACATTTGTAACAAATATTCACATAAAACGTACTGTGTACTTACATAGCAGGATTTTTCGGTAATGAAAACAATATTATTTCAGCATTTCCTGCTTTACGCATGCAGTCTGCCATGGCACATTTATGTGGCATTTTATGTTAACTATTAAGAAAGAAAATAATAAATACAAATATGTCCATATCATGAGAAATGGTCCAGTGCTACTCAGACAAAACTACAGACAAGAGAAACAAGAATTTGGCAAGCAGTGAGAGGATTGGTATCTGACAGACACACAATTGTCGTCCCTTCTTCACGAAGGTATCATCTTCGTTCGTTAGTTCGAAAAATTGATATCTGAGAATAATACAAATACATATCATGCGAACACAGCAGCATACTACAATTACATTTTATGAAATTATACATATATATAATTTATTAAATGTAACTTTGAGTTATGTATAAAATGCTTCGAATCGGACGCCGCGATGAACAGGAATGTTTGGAATTTACTAAAAAGACTTATTTGTTTGCCATGACCGACGCTCAAATTTCGAACAAAGGATAACTCGAAAATAACGCTCAAATAATATTAAATACGCGAAATAATTTAGAATACTTGTTCGTTGATTATTAAAACATCCAAACATTATCTAAAATATACTTATGTATGTATTAGGGAACAACGCCGAAATTTACAAAAAACACTACAAGACGCACAACTACACGGTAACGGTATAAGCCAGGGCCCCCAAGCTTTACTCTTGTGACCATGAAGCCCGATTTAATTCGAGCCCCCGGGGTTTGGCGGCGCCAGTGTCACTCTTTTACGTACTATTAAGTTCATATTCTGTGTAAGTTTATTCTATGGTGTATTCACCCGGCAAAATTTGAACTTCAACTCACTCCATATATCCATATTTGGTCACTGAAACATACGAACGCTTTCAATTGTTTCGAAGCTAATCGCACGATCGAACGCGATCAATAATTCAACGATTGGAACGATTGGATGGAATTCAACGATTTTACTAAAGACATGGACGATAAAAAACGGTAAATAATTTTTAAAGTATATTTACAAAATTTTTAATGAAAATATTTAATGAATTCTATTGATATCAATTAGCACCTGCTGCATCTGTCAAGCCACAGGAGGAAACTAGGACGGAAATTGAAGAAGAAGAAGAACGTAAGTTTTTGATCTGTATACATATACATATGATAAAATAATATATAAACATAACATTTATACACTACATGTAAATGAGAAAACCTCCAACATTTAATATATATACAATGTTATATAATTTGGTTAATATAGATCAACCCGTGCTCACCATTAGGTGCCAGGACAATGTGGGACCTCAGGATAGCATAGGACTGAAGGGCTTCATTGATCCTGATACCAGTAGAGATTCCGGCGCCTATAATGTGCTTCCTGGTTCATCCAGAGGCTAGTGTATTACCTTACAATAATATTATCTTCTATTGCATTCCTTTTTTTAATTATGATAGGTATTCAGTATTATGTGTGTCATTTAAAAGGTGCTTCTATTAATTCTTCGTTAGAATTACCGATTGTGCTGTCCAAAGGGGTCGACTCCAAGCAGCCAGCAGGAAATGTTTTAAAGGTATTAAGTATTTTTTTTATTATATATTTTATTGCATTTTTTATTATATATTTTTATTGTACATTTTTCCGTATTTTTATTGTATATTGTATTTTTTTATTATATATTTTTATTGTATATTTTATTGCATTTTTTGATTATATATTTTTATTGTACATTTTACCATAATTTTATTGTATATTTCATTGTATTTTTATTATATATTTTATTATATTTTTATTATATATTTTATTATATTTTTATTATATATTTTATTATATTTTATTATATATATTTTTTATTGTATATTGTACTGTATATTTTTATTACATTTATGTATAATAAATTTAATTTTATAAAGTAGGGTCTTTTTTTTTCCTTTCTTTACTTTTTATTCAGTTTCATTTTAAAGCAGGTACATGTACACATATATAGGACCATGTTGTTGTGTGCGTGGCTCACTGATTATGTTGTATGTGTAGTAACGACACTGGCGCCGCCAAACCCCGGGGGCCCGAATTAAATCGGGCTTCAACGCGAAATACGGTAGCTTGGCAGCCCTGGTATAAGCAGGTATAACCAGAGTATTAGATAGAGTGGAAGATATGCGTATTGTTGCGTATCGCTACTTTTGATAAAGATAAATTAATTCCCATGTCATTTATTTAAAACAATTTGTTAATACTCACTCCCATAGCGACCGTTAACTAGTATAGACGTCTATTGTAAAAGCTTGTATTTAAAGTAAAGAAATTCAACTTTTTTGTTAAATTAGCTATATTTAAACAGTTATAATAAAGTTTATATTACATTTCTTAATTTATCTTAAATTAACTTATTCCTGGATAAGTCGCACGCAGTTCTAATAATCTTGTCACATGCGGCGTGAACGCCAGAAAAATCCTAAGTCCTTAAAAATAAAACCGCACGAACTCGCAACAGTATATTTGTTGTAAACTTATTATTGCAATGCAGCAAGAGGTCATCATTTTGAACAGTGTCTGCATTAAATAATAAATGATAACAAAATAAGTTAGTGTTAATAAATGAAAGGGAAGAGAAAAACTTTTCTATTCCTTTTTTCGCGATTTTCTTCAAAACGGAGAAAAACGAGTATACCTCTAAAGGACTTCTTTTCGTAGATTATCGGTGCCCTACACGCTCCTAAAATTTTGGCACTTAAATTAGGAACACCCTTTAGAACGTTATACTTATATATACATATATTTAATCTTAAACTATACATTAGTGCTCGAAATTACACATTTACAATTTCCTTGTACTGTCAATACTTGTTATTTTCACAGATAATTAAAGTTATTAATACTATGTTTTGATCTATAAACATCTTTTATATATACACATAATAACAATAACTTTCCACATCACCCAAGAGGTATTATTGTTGATGCGTTTTTTTTTAAAGTGGTTTCCCCTGTAAGCCTATTCCACTAAACGTCACTCGACAGAAAAATAAATGAACAGAAGACAGCACAAGGAAATTTTAGTCGATCCTGGAGCGGTCGTGGGAATACAGAAGGCGGTGCGGTGCGGTGCCTCGGGAATCGGCCCGAAATATGGAAACACCTACAAATTTTTTGCAATGCTCCTGGTCCGTTCGGCAGCCCTCCTCAGCCATAACATTATTGAAGTCTCAGTGTCTTTCTTCACCTGACCCAGACCCATCTGCTGCGCTGCTTCTAAACAACAAAAATTGCATACAAATAAACATAAAAAGCAACAAGTGTTTTTGGTTTACAGATTGGGAGCTACGTGGACGATAAATACCAACTGTACATTTCTTGCTGTATGGAACTGTTTATACAATTATTTGAAAGAAAAATGCAAAATCGGTATACATCGTATACGAATAACATACATGTTTTGTCAAAGAGAGCATAATTACCTATTAAAACTTTGGCCACGTTGGTGAAATTAAATTTTTGTTTCCCTTTTCGTCCCATTCAACTATACCCCATCGCCAATTGGTTGCTTATAATTAAGGTTAAAACCCGTTTTATAAAATTGTAGTTAGCAGACCCGCCAGTTTGACTTAGTTCTGTTACCTGCAAATTAAACATGTTATTATAATCAGGTGTGGACTGTAATGTTATAAGCATTACATTTGATTTACTCACCGCATCTTTAAAATTTCCATCGTCCTGTAAATAATTTTCCAGTAAGGACATATCCTCGCTTGTGTTTATTGGGTAAACGATCGGTAATACAAATATAGATCGTTTACCCTCTGGGACTGTGTCCACCTTCGATATTCGCTGTTCTAACGCCTCCACACGACCTAAAATATCGGTAAGCAGCGCACGCTGCAAATGCTGTTGCTGAATGATTATTTTTAAATATTTTAATGTCGTGTCTTCTTGGCCTGAAAAATTAGATTTTTTAGAAAATGTTTTTAGAGCGTACAAATGGAAATGAATGATTCACTGTTACTGCTGGAGTCTGTTTCAGTGGCAGCTGCCTCGTCTATACGGATAGAATGTTGCGTTGACACTATAAATTGTGGAAAGAAGCGTTACATATATATTTCAAATTGTATGTTTTCTAAAGTATTTATAATGACTAAATCACATACTTTCCTTTTTCATTTCCGGCATCGGGGGAGGCGAAAGAAAACACATCGATTCGTCAGAGTCCTCGGTCTCTGAGGAAATAAACCTTTTGGTTTTTTTGCGTTTGCGACTCGACTCTGCCTCGGACAATAAGTCGCTGGTATCCTCCGCGTCTCTGGCTTTCCTCCTTGCCTTGCTGTATGTATCTGAAAGTATGAAATAACAGTTACAATGCTTATACATTTAGGTTATCTTGTAACGCGTCGCCCCTGCACGGAACCCGTAACGACGTCACCCCTGGGGGGAGGGGGGGGGGAGAACCCCGTACGTACGCTCGAAGCTAGACGCGGTGCAGAGTGTCTTGTCAGGTAGCGCCGAAGAACCATAAAACTTGTACTCTCCATGGTCCGTGCTTGCCTACAAAAAGGGCAACG